AAGGCACTCACCATACCCGGTGCTAAAAAAAGGAAGAATGTGAGAATAGTAAATGAAAAAGAGAACAAAAACATACAAAACAACATACATAACAGACACATGTGCATGTGCAGACAAAATTGCACAGGGAAACCTTTCGTGGTATGTACAATTTCAAGATAATCCAGTATTTTCAGAACTCAGAAAGTACAATCATGTGTTTCTATGTCTGTTCTGATCATCCTCAGATGTGTTTTCCCCTGTGGGTGGTCTGTACAGTTACCTAACCGAGAGACTGATTCCACTTCCCCTCAATGGCCTGTTAGTAAATGCTGTCACTATGAAACTGGAGTCAGGCGCCACAGACTGAATAAAATAGCATTTTGGTATGGGCTCAAAAGGATCAGCACGCTGAAAAAAACGATGTATCTGAGAATTTGGAACCATAAAGCTCCCTGATTAAGTTACAACAATCTGTGCCAGCGCCAGCATTGCAGTATAATGACATATTGTGCTGAGCCACACCCTGAACCATGACACAGTTACAGAGACAACAAAAGCCCAGCTGGACTGAATGTATGCACCAACAGCCTGCATACTAAATCCTCAGCATTTACGCTTGTGAAAAGCATAAGTCAAACATGTTAGCAGAGCGAGGTAAGCTTCAAAGAAGCTGTTCTTTTTTTTGTTTACTTTTCGAGAAAGAAAACTGGCGGATGTGACATGTATAGATGTGTAATCAAACAACATGTCTGCACGGCTCTGACAAATGTAATCCGGGATTGGGCGGCTAAAACACCTGTTTCATACAGCACCAGCTGATGTGACAAGCCCATAATTACACAGGATTATACTGAGTTAACGTCACTTTGTTTCTTTCCCCTTTCATTTCCAGCCATAATGTCAGAATGTGCAGTAAAACAGCGCTGGGTGGCAGGGGAATGATTGCATGAGAAGAGTAAACCAGCGGTGGAGGATACTGTGAATGAAATCTGGGGCAGCCTGTCAAGGAATCACGCAGACAGTCCCATATTACAGTATCTTTCAGCAGTAGGTCATCTGTCTAATCAGAGCTCTGGAACCTTATGGAATGATTATTAAGACAGGGAGAGGAAGAAGGGGTCACTGTGGTCATTTTTTAAATTAAACATTTACTCTTTTTTTAAGGAATATCAGCTGTGTGGATTCGAGACAGCGAGGCAATTCCTCTCTGGCACCAGAGGAGATTACGCACCTGGCAGCCATTGGGAAACTTGAAAGTGAGTTTATTTATAAGATGACTTATAGTTGGCTGTTTTGTGCTTGTCATAAAAGACTAAACAATAATAGTTCCATGTAAGCCATACTGGGTTTCCCTCCTCAAACACTGCAAGAAGTCTACTCATATGTCAGAGTGATGGTTTTTTGCACAAGAAGTGACATAGGGCATCATTGTAGTGTTTGATCAAACAGCGCCAAATAAACTGCACGATTGTCAGAGTTTTGATTCTGACGGCATGTATTGATTACTGTACAGGGAGATATATGACTAAATAATGAGAGAGGTTTAGTTGAATTTGGAGCAACATACCAAACAAAAAGATCCATCTTGATTTTATTATGGAAATTGAAGATTGAAAAAAGTATTTAAAAATGATTTCACATGGGAGTTTGGAAGAGTGTTTGCTGTTGGAGTGGATAGGCTAATTTTTGAGGTATGTAATGGAAAATGATAGGGTTTGCTCACGAGTAATGATTATATGGTTTCAATACCAAGCGAACATAACAATTAGTGGGTGGCAACAGTCAAAGATTTGAATTTTACTTTTATATTTGGATTTTCAGGCTTACATTGGCACGGTTCCACAGAGGGAATGAATGGTTGCTTTATGTAACGGTTAACACATAATAACCCTTCACAGCAGCAGGACGCTTTTCATCAGCTTTCAGGTGCGGGGGTTCAGTGCACATTATTACAGAAACATTGAGATAAGGAGGAGGGGAATCCTTTGCCTCTTGAAAAGGGGGATGTGTGAGAGGTGCCATGGCCTTTCATCTTTTTTAAACTGGTTGGAGAGCAGTGCAGAGTATATTTGTTCTTCAGGGAGAATGGGCAGTCAAAACACTGATGTACTTGACCAGGTCAGCCCACTGAGCAGGAGTACCACTGAAGAAGTGGCAGTTTGAATCAATGCTTTTCATTGTTGGCTAGAGACGGATTTCAAAAAACACTTGGACAACTCTCTAAAGGGCCTTTCCCACCGCTGCGGCTCCCACTCTGAAACACTCTCTTCAAACCTGCATCGTTTGTTATAGATCCCATATGGTCAACAAATGTTATCTCAAATGAATTTCACATTTGCATGATACTGCTGATTTTTGTCATCATTCAAAAACTCAACACATCCGACATGGATTGGACTAAATAATAAACAGATTCATGGCGAATTATCTTCAGCTGAATTTTCCAACCACTCCATGTTGAGGTCATCGCTGGCTGGAAACTATGTGAAGCACAACCTTAAAACTTCATACGAGGCGTCGCCTAACACTGCGTTCTCGAGATGCATCGGGTCAACAACGCCGTCCTTTGTGGAAACCTCCACAATTAACAGAGGGAATGAGGCAAATATTAAAGGGTCATGTCCAGGGAAATTATAATTTATAACTGACATTTCCCATCTTAAAAGGGAAGCCTTTCACCAGGATGACCACAGCGGGTTAGGAGCCGCAGAATGAGCCGTTGCCCCGTGTTACAGGTTTTGGCGTGGAAAGCAGGCTAGTGACTAGCTGACTGTTTGCCCAGCATCTTGAGAGCAGGGCTCTGTCTGAGTGGGGAGACAGCTGAGGGGCTGCGGAGGATCCATCGCTCAGGTCAGCCGAGGAAGAACCCCCGATTCAAACAGGAAATACTCTTTCAACGCCAGGCAATAACAAGTCCTCACAGTTTACATTGCGCTGGCCTGTCTACAGAGCGCTGCGAGACACGTAGAAGCGGTTTGTTTAACCGGCCACGTCACAACAAGTAAAAGTTAATGGCACACTCAAAGTGTGGATGTGATGATACAAGTAAAAGAAAGAAATCGAGGAGTCTCACTTTAGTTACATGTTAGACGCTTTTATCCAAAGCGACTATACATACTCAATACTGTGGACAATCCCCACAGGAGCAATTTGGGGTGAAGTGTCTCAGGGACACAACGACATGCTGACTGCAGTGGGGTTTGAACCTGTGCTTCCCTGATCCGAACACCAACGCACAACCCACTGCACCACACGCCTCCCTTTATTTTATATACTGTACTTATTCAATTTTCTTTAGTAATTCAAATTTGGCGAGGGTAGGTTAATGATTAAATATACTGTATATTCTGTTGTTACAAACTAAAANGTGTGTGTGTGTGTTCAAGACTGTGAGCATGCACATGACTGTGTGTGTGTACTCTGAGCAATCACTCTCACACTTAACACACATTCACACACCTACCCAAACACACACACAGTCATGTGCATGCTCACAGTCTTGAACACACACACACACACACACACACACACACACACACACACACACACACACACACACACACACACACACACACACACACACACACACACACACACACACACAGTCATGTGCATGCTCACAGTCTTGAACACACACACACACACACACATACATCATCTCACACAGATGTTTCCTCCTTCCACTCCCCCCCCCTTTCCTTCTTTCTTC